GTAGTGATACTGCCTCGGAAACCCAAGGGGGGGTCGCTATGAGTCGGGGCCGACTCGACGGCAAATAACAACAACAACAACAACAACACATGATCCACACCTTAGAAGCTCTGATGGTGCAGGGGTTAAAGCATCTGGCTGCTAACCAAAAGGTCAGAGGTCAGTGGCTTGAACCCATCAGCCGCTTGGTGGGACAAAGATGAGGTAGTCTGCTTCTGTAAAAGCTATATAGCCTTGGAAACCCTATAGGGCAGATCTACTCTGTCCAACAGGGTCACTACGAGTCGGAATTGACTCGATGGCAGTGGGTTTGGTTTTTTGGATCCATACCTTAGTAATAATTCTTTTACTAAATCTTCTCTAAATCATTCTAATTTGAGTGTATTGTCTTTTTCCTGACTGATAACCCCCATCTATAAATGCATACTTACTTCATAACAACATCAGCATCTATTTCTTCTATTTGTGAAACTTTATTAATCACACACTGCAAAATTAAAGAAAAAACAGAAACAATTTGATTAGCTGTCTTCAGAATCCTAAACACTCCATGCTTCATTTGTACCTTAAAAAGGACCTCACCAACCATAATAAGCATTTTACCAGGCTTCTCTTCTCTCTTATACATACTTCAAGGTGTCTGAAAAACTGCAGCATTATCCTTGCCCTATTAAATAATTATTCTTGAACTATATATTTTTGAACTATAATATGTTTGCTATAATATTTGCTTAAGTATAATAATTTCTAAACCTCCTATCTAAAACTGTTCAAAATAATACATCAGGGGAAAAAAAAGAATTAAAATACTTAGGAACAAGGTGAAGTCTCATATTAAAATCCCAAAAGGATTCATCTTGGAGGTTATAGTTCCTTATAATGCATCCAGCAATTTGAAGTTTAATAAATAAATAAATGCTTAGACTTTAATAGAAGTCTGAGAATTAAAATACAGCAATTTTTTAAAAAAATTTATTTACCTATATATAATATACATACAGAAAATTGTACAAATTATGTGTACAGCTGAAAAATTCTTACAAATTGAATATATCTGTGTAACCAGTACCTAACTCAAGAAACTGAACAGTACCTAGAAGTCCCTCTTTCGGTCTCCTCCCAGTCACTCCAGGCTCCCCCAAAAAAACTACTGTCCTGACTTCTAATACAGAAGATTAATTTTGAACTATATATAAATGGAATTTTATAGAATATATAACCTTTTGTATCTGGCTTCTTTGACTCCACATTACGTCTGTGATATTTAACCATGTTGAAGCCTATAATTTATTCATTCTTAATACTATAGAGTATTATATAACACAATTCTATTTATCCTTTCTACTGTTGTTGAAATGTGGGTTGTTTATAGTTTTTTTTTATTATTACAAATGGTTCTACCATGAACATTCTTGTGCTTTCTTTCGGTGAACTTACATAATGTATTTCGTTTCAGTATGTACCTAGGGAAATAACTGCTAGGCCACAAAGTAAGTGTATGTTTAGCATTAGTAGATATTACCAACAATTCTCTAAAATGGTTGTACCAATTTAAAAAGATAGTGTTTTAATTATATCTGAGAGAAGTAAAAGGGGATGATTATAATCTTTTGCTTATTTTATTTAAACATTAAACATTCACACGTGTCTATTTACCTAATGATGATTAAACCTAATAAATATATTTAACATTTTGTAAATATAGAAATGGGAGCTCTGGTAGCATAGTGCCTAAGGCATCTGACTGCTAACCGGAAGGCTGGTGGTTCAAACCCACCAGCCACTCCTCGGAAGGAAGATGAGGCAATCTACTTCCGCAGTGATACTGCCTCAGAAACCCAAGGAGGGGTCGCTATGAGTCAGGTCCAACTCAACGGGACATAACAACAACAACATATATAGAAATATTGAAGTTTAGTGAATGAAATTTATGTAACTAAAAAGCCAAAACAAAGATCAGCAAAGACAAAAAAGAAAGACATGGATTTTAATTTATAATTATAATTTCTCAGAGATCAATAAAATAAACATTGTCTACTGCTGGTGGGAGAAAAAACTGGCAAGACCTTTCTAGATAGCAATTCAACTCTATGTAGCAAACAATCTAAAATACAAGAAATTTAAGTATTAAACAATTTAAAATCAATTTTCACTCTGTAGATTAGTCCTAAGAAACTAGTGAGGGGGGCAGATCTTTATACCAAAGATGTTTGTTACAGTGTAATTTATAGCATCAAGTTAAAAAAACCTATATATTCAACAAAAAGGTTAAATTAATGTTAGTTAATGAACATAGTATTGATGGAATTTTGTACAACCATTAAAAATGATGTGTCTGAAGGCTTATATAATAATATAAGAAAATGCTTACATTATGATTCTAACTAAAATATGTACAATTCGAAATCATATATATATAAAATCATAAATGTCAAAAATGAAACAAATCAATAACAGTCTGCACATAGAAATATTCTTTAAGTGGCAGTCTTCTGGCTGGTAAAGCTACGATTTTTCTCTTTGTATTTGTCTATATTTTCAATTTTAAATACATAAGCAAGTATTACATTTTTACTGCAGGTATTATTACCATGATAATGTAAACAAAAAAAATTAACAAGATTCTATACCAAAATATATCAAATAAAAATGTTTTATTACCTGTTTAATGATATTCTTTGCTGTAATAATCATTTCTTCACCATAGATTTCTAAAAAATTGAGTTTTCTTTGTTTTAAAAGTCCAAATACAAGAGATACTAGTCTTTCCTATGAAAATAAGAATATATAATTTCACACTTCAAAATGAAATAATCTCACTTAGAGGTAGAAATATTCAGCATCAAGGGTTTTACTGCTTGATCCTCAGATCTTTATCCTGCATACGGTATTTTCTAGAACCTTGGAGAAACCTCTCCCACAGCAGTCTTGTCACCAGATTTTTGTAGTCAATGCTCTAAAACAAGTAAATCTTGTTCTATCACGGTAGATTTAAAAAAAAAAAAAAAATGGTATGAGGGCAAATGCTAGAGTATTTTTAGGCCTTATTAAAAAAAAATTAGAAAGTATCTCTTAAACTCTGATGCCAAATACATATTTTATCAACTCTGTAATTTTTAGAACACTATAATGATGACCTGAACTCTCTATTAATGTGTATAAACTTTCTTTTACTCAGGCTTCCATCAGGGTGTTCTGGGGTCTTTACTAGTTCTTGGCAAGAATCTGCATTGAGTAGTTACCAGCTAAATGAAGCCTGGATATGATAATAAATGTATACATTTATCTATAAAATATGGTCCTAACAAGTACTCAATTTGAATAATTGATAAACTACTATATTATAGTTCAAGACTGTATGCATTTGACAATGCAAAAACATTAGGCTATGTGGATCGTAACAAATTATGTATATAACATTGAGAAGAATGGGAATTCTGGAACACATAACTGTGCTCAAGAGAAACCTATGTATAGATCAAGAGGTAGTTGTTGAGCAGAAGAAGCGGATACACATGGCTTAAAATCAGGAAAGGTGTGTGTCAGGGTTATATCCTTTCATCATGTTGTTGTTGTTGTTATGTGCCGTTGAGTCGGACCTGACTCATAGTGACCCCTCCTTGGGTTTCCAAGGCAGTATCACTACAGAAGTAGATTGTCCCATTTTCCTTCTGAGGAGTGGTTGGTGGGTTTGAACCACCAGCCTTCTGGTTAGCAGTCAAGTGCCTTAGGCACTTATGCTATTCAATTTGTAATAAACCAAAAAAAAAAAAACCCTGTCATTGAATTGATTCTGACTCATAGTGACCCCCATAGGGTAAATCCTTATGGAAGTAGGCTGCCTCATCTTCCTCCTGTGGAGCAGCTGGTGGGTTTGAACTGCCAACCTTCTGGTTAAGAGTCAAAAGACTTACCAACTGTGCCCCCAGAGCTCCTTATCTGTATACTGAGCAATCTGTATATTCAGCACATAATCCAAGAAACTGGATTATGAAGGGTGTAGCATCAAGATTGGTAGAAAACTCTTTAACAGTTTATGATATGCAAATGACACAACCTTACCTGCTGAAAGTGAAGAAGACTTGAAGCACTTACTGATGAAGATCAAAGAGTACAACCTTCAGTATGGATTGTACTTCAACATAAAGAAAACAAAAATCCTCACACCTGGACCAATAAGCAACATCATGACAAATGGAGAAAAGACCGTTGTCAGGGATTTCCCTTTATTTGTATCTAAATATCAATGCTCATGAAAGCAGCAGTCAATTAACACAATGCCCTGGGCAAATGTGCTTAAATGTGTTTAAAGCGTTACCCGAGTCCTCACTTTGAGGACTTAGGTGTGCCTAACCTAAGCCATGGTATTTTCAACAGCTTCGTATGCATGTGTAAGTTGTGCAATGAATAAGGAAGACCACAGAAGAACTGATGTGTTTGAATTGTGGTGATGACAAAGAATATTGAAAATACTATGGACTGTCAGGAGAACAAACAAATCTATGTTGAAGAAGTGCAGCCAGAATGCTCTTTAGAAATGAGAACTGTCAGACTTTATCCCACATACTTTGGTTATGTTTTCAGAAAGTATCAGTCCCAACAGAAAGATATCATACTTGGTAAAGTAGAGTGCCAGTAAAAAAGAAGACCTTCAGCAAGATAGATTGACAAAGTGGCTGCTATGATGGGCTCAAGAATAGCAAAAATCATGAGGATGGCACAGGACCAGGCAGTGTTATGTTCTGTTGTACACAGGATCTCTACAAGTCAGAACTGACTAGACAGTACCTAAGAACAACAAGACAAGATATATCCAGTGCATACAGGCAAACGGATTAAAGTTAATCCATCCTATGTCTATGTGATAGTTAAGTTTGTGTGTCAACTTGGCTGGACCTGGTTGAGTGGCTGGGCAGCTGGATATAGTATTCCCCATGATGAAATTGGTTATCAACTCCATGGTGGAATCTACTGTGAGCAGCTGAGTAGCTGCCTTAGGGATGTGGTCCGCTTCCTGTATATAAGAAGAAGGCTTGGGGAACGGTCTCTAGCTTACAGCATTCTTGAACCCTGCATGTAGCCATGTCACTGTTCAACAGCCTGCAATGGTCTGCTGATCTTGGGACTTTTAATGGATTTGAATTAATGGCTTGCCATGTGGTTTGGTAATATCGGGACTATGCCTTTTTACTTGTCAATCTTGGGCTTGTCAGTCTCAGCAGCCAGCAGCTGTCTGACTGAAGAAAAGCCTCTAGCTTCAGTGGGCCAGGAGCAGGAGGCAGAGCTGAAGCCCAAGGTTGAGGGGCTTTCACCCAGTCCCTAGAGCCTGGCACTTTGAACTCGGACTTAAAGCCTCCAAACTGTAGGAGAATAAACTCCTGTTTTTTCAAACCATCATCCCATTTGTGGTATATTCTTGTCAGAATGACACTAGGTAACTAGAACAGTCTACATTTTGAACTTGTCTCTGTGAGTCAGAACTGACTTGACAGTACCTAACAACACAGTAATACAGGAGGTACTCCAGAGCATGAGGCAGATGGAATAAAGTTAATTCATTCGGTGTCAATGTTTTGAACTTGGTTTATAAACTATAAAGAACTTATTTAACTCTAATTTCTTATTAAGGTATGAAATTTATTTTTATTGTCCAATTTCAAAGGACTATGGGACTTGTGAAGGTCACAAGGCTAGTAAAGAACTTGATAGGTCTAACAGACCTTAAAAAATTAAGACAATCTTTCTCAATATAATCTGAGAAGAGTAAGTTCTAAACTTGGGCTGTTAAGAATTAAAACTAAGCAATGACATTAATTTTATTCCACAGTTCAAAACACATACCTCTTCTAAAATTTGACAGTCATCTTCCAGTGGCCTATTTAAGTCACTGTGAGAATAAGTAGAAAATTCTGCAATCATCATTTTATCTATTAGTTTTTCTAATTCACAAAGCTGTGATCCCAAATGCCTACAAAGGAAGAAAAATATATTATCTATATATCCATTAAAAACCACAAATGCACTGATGATCAAAGAAAACATAGTAGATAAATTTTTTTAGCAGACAGTACCTATGCAATAGTATAATGTTTTATTAAAATAGAATTGTTGAAGTTACCAAACTAACAGATAATTTCACTTAATCTCCTGGATTCTATTTTTCTGTTTACATCCTTAATCTCCAAACACTTCTTGAAACATGGTTACCTGGTGAATTTTATGACTGCTTTCCACAGATAAAAAATATTCAAGTTCTTTCCTCATTAGCCATTAACTGAATATCAATGCCATTCATTTATTCAATATAAGTACCTACCATGTGGTAAGCCCTGTTCTAGGTACATATAAATATCTAAAGGACTACAGGTACAAAGTGATTCAATTCAGTATCTGTCATGATCAATGTGAGTTACTGCACAAAACCCCTCAGAGGTCATTAAACTGAAAGTCATTTACACCTTAAGACTGTGAAAATATAAAAATAATGAGTTACAACTGATTCATAGCCATTTTTTTCTCATAAAATATACTGTGCTATTTCTAGTATATATAGATTCCAGCTAAAAGTTAAAGTGAGAAGGACTCTGGTCTGGGAAGAGTTACAGGCATTGTAAAGGCAGGTAATACTAAAGAGTTTAGAACCTTTTCCCTATCCATATGATAAGAATGGTCCCAAGCAGTTCCTATTCTGCAGGGGATTAAGAATAAGTACCTTCTTATACAAAGGGATTTTTGCCACAGAATCTAATAGCTTCATAAAACAATGAGTTGATGAAATCTAAAGTATCTAATTGGTCCAAAGTATTTCAAAATGCACAAGTGAAACAGGTCAATGAGAAATCTGATTATTCCACAGAATAAAAAGCTGGGGGAAAATCTTTAAAACAAACATAGGTGTGTGCTAAAACAGCAAGGAGGCCACATGTTCTGATCTCCTCTAATCCCACAAGAGGAAGACAGGATTACCAGCAGTAACCCAAGGCCTATTCCTACAAGGTCAGACATGCTGCCTCCCTCTAGCCCTTTCACCAACCGTTCCTCCCAAAGCACCCACCACCTCTCTCCTGGGTTCGATAATTCGCTGCAGTGGCCACACAGAGTTCACAGATTATGGGGTTTATTAGGGAAGCACCACAGGCTACAATTCAGGTTCAGGAAAAATGCTCAGTCTCTCTCCCAGCCCACCACCCCTCAGCCAAGAGTCTCTCACAGTCTCTTTCCCAGTAGTGCTGGTCCCTCGGTGTCTTACTCAGCAATGCATGTCTCTTGCATCTCTTTCCCAGCAACGCGTGTTTCAGGAGCCCGGGTCTCTTTCAGCAGCACGTCTTCCTCAACCAGCAGTCACAGAGCCATTCTGCCTCCAGGAGGCCTCCTTTTGAGCCCGGAAGGGTGGGCAAACTAGCCAATCACAGCATCAGAACTCTAAGCATGTGAGAGAGAGTGGGAATCTCCCAGAACATTGTATCATGCCACTCCCCCAGAAATACCCCAGGTGGATAGCTTCAGCAATCAGGAGCTCCTCAGTTGCTCATAGAAAATCCCACCTTGGAGTTTACAAAGACTTATGGGTAGAAAAGCCACACTAAGTAATTTACTACACTGCAGAGTGTGTGTGTGTGTGTGTGTGTGTATTTTCATATATATATATGGGGGAAAAAAACAACTCACTGCCATCGATCGAGTCGATTCCAACTCATAGCGACCTCCACTGGGTTTCTGAGGCAGTAAATTTTTACGGAAGTAGATTGCTCCTATCTTCCATCTGTGGAATGACTGGTGGGTTTGAACTGCCAACCTTCTGGTTAGCAGTCAAATGCCTTAGGCAATGTTCCACCAGAGCTCCTTATACATATATATACACACACAAATATATGTGTGTGTACATGTGTATATATACACCTATAAAACAAAACAAAACAAAACCCCAAACTCCATGTCATCGAGTCATTTCTGACTCACAGCGACCCCTTCTTGGGTTTCTAAAACAGAATCACTATGGAAGTAGATTGCCCAACCTTCCTTCTGAGGAATGGCTGGTGGGTTTGAATCCCCAGCCTTCTGGTTTGCAGTCAAGTGCCTTAGGCACTATGCTACCACAGCTCCATATATACATATATATATATATGTACATATGTGTGTGTATAAACATTTAATTGAAAACAAACCCTTAATGTGGGCAACTGTTAACCATATATGGCACAAACTGTAATTAATTAAAACAATATGACCTCTCAGACTCATTGTTCTTCTTTTAAAAACATTTGATAAGTAGGTGTACTGATAATTTTTAAACAAATCTGATAAGTGAAATAATGTATAAATTTGTATTTTGCAATATGAAAATTATACTTCTTAAAAATAAACAGAAGACTAATACAGTTTTCATAAATGGTACCAATATCTCACAATAAACTAATTTATAACATTTCTACTAGTGTAAATTAAAACATTATCATAAGGGGAATTTGTTAGTATCTAACAAAATTACATGGCCAATTACCCTTAGACCAAGGAATCTCACTTCTTAGAATTTGTCCCAAAGATACACTGGCAAAAATGCAAAAGAACACATGTATAATCCAGCACTGTTTGTAACTGTAAAGGAACGGAAACAACTCAAATATTGACCGATAGGGGACTAGCTGAATAAATTCATGGCACATTCTTAAGCAGACATTATACATTTTTAAAAGAATTAAGGAATACTTCTACATACTGCTATAGAAACAGAACCTTTTCTCCATTACTGCCCCCCTAAAAGAGCTCTTTAGAGCATAGTGCCTAAGGCATTTGACTGCTAACCAGAAGGCTGGCGGTTCTAACCCACCAGCCACTTCTCAGAGGGAAGGCTGGGCAATCTATATCTGTAGTGATACCGCCTCAGGAACCCAAGGAGGGGTCGCTATGAGTCAGATCCGACTCTACAGCACATAACAACAAGAAGAAGGGAGATCTGGCGGAATTTTCACTGCTAATCAGATGGATGGTAGTTCAAACCCACTAGCCACTCCTTGGAAGGAAGACTGGGCAATCTACTTCCATAAAGATACTGCCTTGGAAACCCAAGAAGGGGTCGCTATGAGTTGAATTAACTCAACGGCAGTGATTTGCTTTAATTAGTCCTTTTAGACTTTTTTTTCCCTAATCACACCTGTCTCGTGAAATTTCAATACTACATAAATAATTGTCCTGTATTACCTATTTATGTACGCTGGTCCTTTGGAAGGCCAAACTACTATAATATCCAAGATTTTTTCACTTTGGGTGATAACCCCTGTTGGCAATGCATGCTATACAACAATCTCCAGGATATATTGTAAACTGAAAACAGCAAGGTGGAAAAAAGTATCTCTAATATGCTATTGCTTATCTAGGACAAGGGACAGACAAATCCAAAAAGTAAACTTTTTTTTTAAAGTGATTTATAAAGTGAGGGAGGGAAAGTGTGGAGGGGGAACAAGATAGAAGCTAGATTTCTCTGAAAATCCTTTGTTTTCTAGATTTGACTTTTGGAATCATGTAACTACTTAAAATAACATGTAAATTTTATAAAGTAATCCTTAACTATCAAATCAAATTAAACAAATGAACTGTGTATTAAGTTAGTGACAAAACTACACAAAGAGGAATAGTTTCATGTGACTTTAAAACATAATAATTAACTTTTCATCTCACAAGGGATATATCTTTTTTTGGTAAAAATATATACAACAAAACCCACTCCCACTCCAGTTTCTAGACATAATAATCAGTGAATTGTTAGTTTCCCAGCATTTCTGATCTATTTGTTTCACTACTATTTAGTTAAACTACATGCCCCCCAACCTTCTCATCTATGCTTTAAAATAGTTGTTAACCATTTAGTCTTACATAGATAATTTTCTACAAACAGTTCAATTTTACTTTTTGCCATACGGGATCTATCTTAAGGAAAAGAAAGGGAAAAATTCTACACTGTTCTAAGTAATAATACTGTTAGTTCTGAGAGCATTCTGTGTGTACTGTGAAATAAAACAAATAAGCAATTATGTTCTTGTCACTGGAAACCATAATTTTCATTCTGGTTTAAAACAGATACAGAATTTGAAGAAGTTAAATAAAAGCCCTTTAGTACTGAATTTAAATGGGGAAAAAAATTTTTCTTTATGAAACAAAATTATGTCCTAGCTCTCTATTCACTACACAAGCCTAAAAATAATGGCCAAGGTCCAGCAGCAAGGAACACCCCTCTGATACCTAGATTGTGATCTTTAAATGCTACTTCCTACTAAAAGAAACTAGAATTTCTTGGAGAAAATGGCTGGTATAGGTCTGAAATAGAAAATAAATAATATGAACACCTTTGTCATAATAATACAAAGTAAGAAAACTATCAGCAACTACTCATGGAATCATGTCAAAGGATTCAAGATGAACTTGACCAGGGTCCCACAAGAGATAGGACAATGTGAACACTTATAAAAATAAATACAGCAAAGAACTTAAATACTTCCAACACATATAAATCCGTAAGTTTATAATAATATGAACAGAAAAAGAAAAAGCCTCAGCAATCACTTTTGGAGGATGCTAGATTTTCAACTCATTATTTTGAAAACTGCTGAATAAAAGGAAAAAAAATCTAGAATTTATCCTGCCTATCGGCTGACGGTTCAAACCCACCAGCCACTCCTCGGAAGGAAGGTTGGGCAATCCCACTTCTGTAGTGATACTGCCTCGGAAACCCAAGGGGGGGTCGCTATGAGTCGGGGCCGACTCGACGGCAAATAACAACAACAACAACAACAACACATGATCCACACCTTAGAAGCTCTGATGGTGCAGGGGTTAAAGCATCTGGCTGCTAACCAAAAGGTCAGAGGTCAGTGGCTTGAACCCATCAGCCGCTTGGTGGGACAAAGATGAGGTAGTCTGCTTCTGTAAAAGCTATATAGCCTTGGAAACCCTATAGGGCAGATCTACTCTGTCCAACAGGGTCACTACGAGTCGGAATTGACTCGATGGCAGTGGGTTTGGTTTTTTGGATCCATACCTTAGTAATAATTCTTTTACTAAATCTTCTCTAAATCATTCTAATTTGAGTGTATTGTCTTTTTCCTGACTGATAACCCCCATCTATAAATGCATACTTACTTCATAACAACATCAGCATCTATTTCTTCTATTTGTGAAACTTTATTAATCACACACTGCAAAATTAAAGAAAAAACAGAAACAATTTGATTAGCTGTCTTCAGAATCCTAAACACTCCATGCTTCATTTGTACCTTAAAAAGGACCTCACCAACCATAATAAGCATTTTACCAGGCTTCTCTTCTCTCTTATACATACTTCAAGGTGTCTGAAAAACTGCAGCATTATCCTTGCCCTATTAAATAATTATTCTTGAACTATATATTTTTGAACTATAATATGTTTGCTATAATATTTGCTTAAGTATAATAATTTCTAAACCTCCTATCTAAAACTGTTCAAAATAATACATCAGGGGAAAAAAAAGAATTAAAATACTTAGGAACAAGGTGAAGTCTCATATTAAAATCCCAAAAGGATTCATCTTGGAGGTTATAGTTCCTTATAATGCATCCAGCAATTTGAAGTTTAATAAATAAATAAATGCTTAGACTTTAATAGAAGTCTGAGAATTAAAATACAGCAATTTTTTAAAAAAATTTATTTACCTATATATAATATACATACAGAAAATTGTACAAATTATGTGTACAGCTGAAAAATTCTTACAAATTGAATATATCTGTGTAACCAGTACCTAACTCAAGAAACTGAACAGTACCTAGAAGTCCCTCTTTCGGTCTCCTCCCAGTCACTCCAGGCTCCCCCAAAAAAACTACTGTCCTGACTTCTAATACAGAAGATTAATTTTGAACTATATATAAATGGAATTTTATAGAATATATAACCTTTTGTATCTGGCTTCTTTGACTCCACATTACGTCTGTGATATTTAACCATGTTGAAGCCTATAATTTATTCATTCTTAATACTATAGAGTATTATATAACACAATTCTATTTATCCTTTCTACTGTTGTTGAAATGTGGGTTGTTTATAGTTTTTTTTTATTATTACAAATGGTTCTACCATGAACATTCTTGTGCTTTCTTTCGGTGAACTTACATAATGTATTTCGTTTCAGTATGTACCTAGGGAAATAACTGCTAGGCCACAAAGTAAGTGTATGTTTAGCATTAGTAGATATTACCAACAATTCTCTAAAATGGTTGTACCAATTTAAAAAGATAGTGTTTTAATTATATCTGAGAGAAGTAAAAGGGGATGATTATAATCTTTTGCTTATTTTATTTAAACATTAAACATTCACACGTGTCTATTTACCTAATGATGATTAAACCTAATAAATATATTTAACATTTTGTAAATATAGAAATGGGAGCTCTGGTAGCATAGTGCCTAAGGCATCTGACTGCTAACCGGAAGGCTGGTGGTTCAAACCCACCAGCCACTCCTCGGAAGGAAGATGAGGCAATCTACTTCCGCAGTGATACTGCCTCAGAAACCCAAGGAGGGGTCGCTATGAGTCAGGTCCAACTCAACGGGACATAACAACAACAACATATATAGAAATATTGAAGTTTAGTGAATGAAATTTATGTAACTAAAAAGCCAAAACAAAGATCAGCAAAGACAAAAAAGAAAGACATGGATTTTAATTTATAATTATAATTTCTCAGAGATCAATAAAATAAACATTGTCTACTGCTGGTGGGAGAAAAAACTGGCAAGACCTTTCTAGATAGCAATTCAACTCTATGTAGCAAACAATCTAAAATACAAGAAATTTAAGTATTAAACAATTTAAAATCAATTTTCACTCTGTAGATTAGTCCTAAGAAACTAGTGAGGGGGGCAGATCTTTATACCAAAGATGTTTGTTACAGTGTAATTTATAGCATCAAGTTAAAAAAACCTATATATTCAACAAAAAGGTTAAATTAATGTTAGTTAATGAACATAGTATTGATGGAATTTTGTACAACCATTAAAAATGATGTGTCTGAAGGCTTATATAATAATATAAGAAAATGCTTACATTATGATTCTAACTAAAATATGTACAATTCGAAATCATATATATATAAAATCATAAATGTCAAAAATGAAACAAATCAATAACAGTCTGCACATAGAAATATTCTTTAAGTGGCAGTCTTCTGGCTGGTAAAGCTACGATTTTTCTCTTTGTATTTGTCTATATTTTCAATTTTAAATACATAAGCAAGTATTACATTTTTACTGCAGGTATTATTACCATGATAATGTAAACAAAAAAAATTAACAAGATTCTATACCAAAATATATCAAATAAAAATGTTTTATTACCTGTTTAATGATATTCTTTGCTGTAATAATCATTTCTTCACCATAGATTTCTAAAAAATTGAGTTTTCTTTGTTTTAAAAGTCCAAATACAAGAGATACTAGTCTTTCCTATGAAAATAAGAATATATAATTTCACACTTCAAAATGAAATAATCTCACTTAGAGGTAGAAATATTCAGCATCAAGGGTTTTACTGCTTGATCCTCAGATCTTTATCCTGCATACGGTATTTTCTAGAACCTTGGAGAAACCTCTCCCACAGCAGTCTTGTCACCAGATTTTTGTAGTCAATGCTCTAAAACAAGTAAATCTTGTTCTATCACGGTAGATTTAAAAAAAAAAAAAAAATGGTATGAGGGCAAATGCTAGAGTATTTTTAGGCCTTATTAAAAAAAAATTAGAAAGTATCTCTTAAACTCTGATGCCAAATACATATTTTATCAACTCTGTAATTTTTAGAACACTATAATGATGACCTGAACTCTCTATTAATGTGTATAAACTTTCTTTTACTCAGGCTTCCATCAGGGTGTTCTGGGGTCTTTACTAGTTCTTGGCAAGAATCTGCATTGAGTAGTTACCAGCTAAATGAAGCCTGGATATGATAATAAATGTATACATTTATCTATAAAATATGGTCCTAACAAGTACTCAATTTGAATAATTGATAAACTACTATATTATAGTTCAAGACTGTATGCATTTGACAATGCAAAAACATTAGGCTATGTGGATCGTAACAAATTATGTATATAACATTGAGAAGAATGGGAATTCTGGAACACATAACTGTGCTCAAGAGAAACCTATGTATAGATCAAGAGGTAGTTGTTGAGCAGAAGAAGCGGATACACATGGCTTAAAATCAGGAAAGGTGTGTGTCAGGGTTATATCCTTTCATCATGTTGTTGTTGTTGTTATGTGCCGTTGAGTCGGACCTGACTCATAGTGACCCCTCCTTGGGTTTCCAAGGCAGTATCACTACAGAAGTAGATTGTCCCATTTTCCTTCTGAGGAGTGGTTGGTGGGTTTGAACCACCAGCCTTCTGGTTAGCAGTCAAGTGCCTTAGGCACTTATGCTATTCAATTTGTAATAAACCAAAAAAAAAAAAACCCTGTCATTGAATTGATTCTGACTCATAGTGACCCCCATAGGGTAAATCCTTATGGAAGTAGGCTGCCTCATCTTCCTCCTGTGGAGCAGCTGGTGGGTTTGAACTGCCAACCTTCTGGTTAAGAGTCAAAAGACTTACCAACTGTGCCCCCAGAGCTCCTTATCTGTATACTGAGCAATCTGTATATTCAGCACATAATCCAAGAAACTGGATTATGAAGGGTGTAGCATCAAGATTGGTAGAAAACTCTTTAACAGTTTATGATATGCAAATGACACAACCTTACCTGCTGAAAGTGAAGAAGACTTGAAGCACTTACTGATGAAGATCAAAGAGTACAACCTTCAGTATGGATTGTACTTCAACATAAAGAAAACAAAAATCCTCACACCTGGACCAATAAGCAACATCATGACAAATGGAGAAAAGACCGTTGTCAGGGATTTCCCTTTATTTGTATCTAAATATCAATGCTCATGAAAGCAGCAGTCAATTAACACAATGCCCTGGGCAAATGTGCTTAAATGTGTTTAAAGCGTTACCCGAGTCCTCACTTTGAGGACTTAGGTGTGCCTAACCTAAGCCATGGTATTTTCAACAGCTTCGTATGCATGTGTAAGTTGTGCAATGAATAAGGAAGACCACAGAAGAACTGATGTGTTTGAATTGTGGTGATGACAAAGAATATTGAAAATACTATGGACTGTCAGGAGAACAAACAAATCTATGTTGAAGAAGTGCAGCCAGAATGCTCTTTAGAAATGAGAACTGTCAGACTTTATCCCACATACTTTGGTTATGTTTTCAGAAAGTATCAGTCCCAACAGAAAGATATCATACTTGGTAAAGTAGAGTGCCAGTAAAAAAGAAGACCTTCAGCAAGATAGATTGACAAAGTGGCTGCTATGATGGGCTCAAGAATAGCAAAAATCATGAGGATGGCACAGGACCAGGCAGTGTTATGTTCTGTTGTACACAGGATCTCTACAAGTCAGAACTGACTAGACAGTACCTAAGAACAACAAGACAAGATATATCCAGTGCATACAGGCAAACGGATTAAAGTTAATCCATCCTATGTCTATGTGATAGTTAAGTTTGTGTGTCAACTTGGCTGGACCTGGTTGAGTGGCTGGGCAGCTGGATATAGTATTCCCCATGATGAAATTGGTTATCAACTCCATGGTGGAATCTACTGTGAGCAGCTGAGTAGCTGCCTTAGGGATGTGGTCCGCTTCCTGTATATAAGAAGAAGGCTTGGGGAACGGTCTCTAGCTTACAGCATTCTTGAACCCTGCATGTAGCCATGTCACTGTTCAACAGCCTGCAATGGTCTGCTGATCTTGGGACTTTTAATGGATTTGAATTAATGGCTTGCCATGTGGTTTGGTAATATCGGGACTATGCCTTTTTACTTGTCAATCTTGGGCTTGTCAGTCTCAGCAGCCAGCAGCTGTCTGACTGAAGAAAAGCCTCTAGCTTCAGTGGGCCAGGAGCAGGAGGCAGAGCTGAAGCCCAAGGTTGAGGGGCTTTCACCCAGTCCCTAGAGCCTGGCACTTTGAACTCGGACTTAAAGCCTCCAAACTGTAGGAGAATAAACTCCTGTTTTTTCAAACCATCATCCCATTTGTGGTATATTCTTGTCAGAATGACACTAGGTAACTAGAACAGTCTACATTTTGAACTTGTCTCTGTGAGTCAGAACTGACTTGACAGTACCTAACAACACAGTAATACAGGAGGTACTCCAGAGCATGAGGCAGATGGAATAAAGTTAATTCATTCGGTGTCAATGTTTTGAACTTGGTTTATAAACTATAAAGAACTTATTTAACTCTAATTTCTTATTAAGGTATGAAATTTATTTTTATTGTCCAATTTCAAAGGACTATGGGACTTGTGAAGGTCACAAGGCTAGTAAAGAACTTGATAGGTCTAACAGACCTTAAAAAATTAAGACAATCTTTCTCAATATAATCTGAGAAGAGTAAGTTCTAAACTTGGGCTGTTAAGAATTAAAACTAAGCAATGACATTAATTTTATTCCACAGTTCAAAACACATACCTCTTCTAAAATTTGACAGTCATCTTCCAGTGGCCTATTTAAGTCACTGTGAGAATAAGTAGAAAATTCTGCAATCATCATTTTATCTATTAGTTTTTCTAATTCACAAAGCTGTGATCCCAAATGCCTACAAAGGAAGAAAAATATATTATCTATATATCCATTAAAAACCACAAATGCACTGATGATCAAAGAAAACATAGTAGATAAATTTTTTTAGCAGACAGTACCTATGCAATAGTATAATGTTTTATTAAAATAGAATTGTTGAAGTTACCAAACTAACAGATAATTTCACTTAATCTCCTGGATTCTATTTTTCTGTTTACATCCTTAATCTCCAAACACTTCTTGAAACATGGTTACCTGGTGAATTTTATGACTGCTTTCCACAGATAAAAAATATTCAAGTTCTTTCCTCATTAGCCATTAACTGAATATCAATGCCATTCATTTATTCAATATAAGTACCTACCATGTGGTAAGCCCTGTTCTAGGTACATATAAATATCTAAAGGACTACAGGTACAAAGTGATTCAATTCAGTATCTGTCATGATCAATGTGAGTTACTGCACAAAACCCCTCAGAGGTCATTAAACTGAAAGTCATTTACACCTTAAGACTGTGAAAATATAAAAATAATGAGTTACAACTGATTCATAGCCATTTTTTTCTCATAAAATATACTGTGCTATTTCTAGTATATATAGATTCCAGCTAAAAGTTAAAGTGAGAAGGACTCTGGTCTGGGAAGAGTTACAGGCATTGTAAAGGCAGGTAATACTAAAGAGTTTAGAACCTTTTCCCTATCCATATGATAAGAATGGTCCCAAGCAGTTCCTATTCTGCAGGGGATTAAGAATAAGTACCTTCTTATACAAAGGGATTTTTGCCACAGAATCTAATAGCTTCATAAAACAATGAGTTGATGAAATCTAAAGTATCTAATTGGTCCAAAGTATTTCAAAATGCACAAGTGAAACAGGTCAATGAGAAATCTGATTATTCCACAGAATAAAAAGCTGGGGGAAAATCTTTAAAACAAACATAGGTGTGTGCTAAAACAGCAAGGAGGCCACATGTTCTGATCTCCTCTAATCCCACAAGAGGAAGACAGGATTACCAGCAGTAACCCAAGGCCTATTCCTACAAGGTCAGACATGCTGCCTCCCTCTAGCCCTTTCACCAACCGTTCCTCCCAAAGCACCCACCACCTCTCTCCTGGGTTCGATAATTCGCTGCAGTGGCCACACAGAGTTCACAGATTATGGGGTTTATTAGGGAAGCACCACAGGCTACAATTCAGGTTCAGGAAAAATGCTCAGTCTCTCTCCCAGCCCACCACCCCTCAGCCAAGAGTCTCTCACAGTCTCTTTCCCAGTAGTGCTGGTCCCTCGGTGTCTTACTCAGCAATGCATGTCTCTTGCATCTCTTTCCCAGCAACGCGTGTTTCAGGAGCCCGGGTCTCTTTCAGCAGCACGTCTTCCTCAACCAGCAGTCACAGAGCCATTCTGCCTCCAGGAGGCCTCCTTTTGAGCCCGGAAGGGTGGGCAAACTAGCCAATCACAGCATCAGAACTCTAAGCATGTGAGAGAGAGTGGGAATCTCCCAGAACATTGTATCATGCCACTCCCCCAGAAATACCCCAGGTGGATAGCTTCAGCAATCAGGAGCTCCTCAGTTGCTCATAGAAAATCCCACCTTGGAGTTTACAAAGACTTATGGGTAGAAAAGCCACACTAAGTAATTTACTACACTGCAGAGTGTGTGTGTGTGTGTGTGTGTGTATTTTCATATATATATATGGGGGAAAAAAACAACTCACTGCCATCGATCGAGTCGATTCCAACTCATAGCGACCTCCACTGGGTTTCTGAGGCAGTAAATTTTTACGGAAGTAGATTGCTCCTATCTTCCATCTGTGGAATGACTGGTGGGTTTGAACTGCCAACCTTCTGGTTAGCAGTCAAATGCCTTAGGCAATGTTCCACCAGAGCTCCTTATACATATATATACACACACAAATATATGTGTGTGTACATGTGTATATATACACCTATAAAACAAAACAAAACAAAACCCCAAACTCCATGTCATCGAGTCATTTCTGACTCACAGCGACCCCTTCTTGGGTTTCTAAAACAGAATCACTATGGAAGTAGATTGCCCAACCTTCCTTCTGAGGAATGGCTGGTGGGTTTGAATCCCCAGCCTTCTGGTTTGCAGTCAAGTGCCTTAGGCACTATGCTACCACAGCTCCATATATACATATATATATATATGTACATATGTGTGTGTATAAACATTTAATTGAAAACAAACCCTTAATGTGGGCAACTGTTAACCATATATGGCACAAACTGTAATTAATTAAAACAATATGACCTCTCAGACTCATTGTTCTTCTTTTAAAAACATTTGATAAGTAGGTGTACTGATAATTTTTAAACAAATCTGATAAGTGAAATAATGTATAAATTTGTATTTTGCAATATGAAAATTATACTTCTTAAAAATAAACAGAAGACTAATACAGTTTTCATAAATGGTACCAATATCTCACAATAAACTAATTTATAACATTTCTACTAGTGTAAATTAAAACATTATCATAAGGGGAATTTGTTAGTATCTAACAAAATTACATGGCCAATTACCCTTAGACCAAGGAATCTCACTTCTTAGAATTTGTCCCAAAGATACACTGGCAAAAATGCAAAAGAACACATGTATAATCCAGCACTGTTTGTAACTGTAAAGGAACGGAAACAACTCAAATATTGACCGATAGGGGACTAGCTGAATAAATTCATGGCACATTCTTAAGCAGACATTATACATTTTTAAAAGAATTAAGGAATACTTCTACATACTGCTATAGAAACAGAACCTTTTCTCCATTACTGCCCCCCTAAAAGAGCTCTTTAGAGCATAGTGCCTAAGGCATTTGACTGCTAACCAGAAGGCTGGCGGTTCTAACCCACCAGCCACTTCTCAGAGGGAAGGCTGGGCAATCTATATCTGTAGTGATACCGCCTCAGGAACCCAAGGAGGGGTCGCTATGAGTCAGATCCGACTCTACAGCACATAACAACAAGAAGAAGGGAGATCTGGCGGAATTTTCACTGCTAATCAGATGGATGGTAGTTCAAACCCACTAGCCACTCCTTGGAAGGAAGACTGGGCAATCTACTTCCATAAAGATACTGCCTTGGAAACCCAAGAAGGGGTCGCTATGAGTTGAATTAACTCAACGGCAGTGATTTGCTTTAATTAGTCCTTTTAGACTTTTTTTTCCCTAATCACACCTGTCTCGTGAAATTTCAATACTACATAAATAATTGTCCTGTATTACCTATTTATGTACGCTGGTCCTTTGGAAGGCCAAACTACTATAATATCCAAGATTTTTTCACTTTGGGTGATAACCCCTGTTGGCAATGCATGCTATACAACAATCTCCAGGATATATTGTAAACTGAAAACAGCAAGGTGGAAAAAAGTATCTCTAATATGCTATTGCTTATCTAGGACAAGGGACAGACAAATCCAAAAAGTAAACTTTTTTTTTAAAGTGATTTATAAAGTGAGGGAGGGAAAGTGTGGAGGGGGAACAAGATAGAAGCTAGATTTCTCTGAAAATCCTTTGTTTTCTAGATTTGACTTTTGGAATCATGTAACTACTTAAAATAACATGTAAATTTTATAAAGTAATCCTTAACTATCAAATCAAATTAAACAAATGAACTGTGTATTAAGTTAGTGACAAAACTACACAAAGAGGAATAGTTTCATGTGACTTTAAAACATAATAATTAACTTTTCATCTCACAAGGGATATATCTTTTTTTGGTAAAAATATATACAACAAAACCCACTCCCACTCCAGTTTCTAGACATAATAATCAGTGAATTGTTAGTTTCCCAGCATTTCTGATCTATTTGTTTCACTACTATTTAGTTAAACTACATGCCCCCCAACCTTCTCATCTATGCTTTAAAATAGTTGTTAACCATTTAGTCTTACATAGATAATTTTCTACAAACAGTTCAATTTTACTTTTTGCCATACGGGATCTATCTTAAGGAAAAGAAAGGGAAAAATTCTACACTGTTCTAAGTAATAATACTGTTAGTTCTGAGAGCATTCTGTGTGTACTGTGAAATAAAACAAATAAGCAATTATGTTCTTGTCACTGGAAACCATAATTTTCATTCTGGTTTAAAACAGATACAGAATTTGAAGAAGTTAAATAAAAGCCCTTTAGTACTGAATTTAAATGGGGAAAAAAATTTTTCTTTATGAAACAAAATTATGTCCTAGCTCTCTATTCACTACACAAGCCTAAAAATAATGGCCAAGGTCCAGCAGCAAGGAACACCCCTCTGATACCTAGATTGTGATCTTTAAATGCTACTTCCTACTAAAAGAAACTAGAATTTCTTGGAGAAAATGGCTGGTATAGGTCTGAAATAGAAAATAAATAATATGAACACCTTTGTCATAATAATACAAAGTAAGAAAACTATCAGCAACTACTCATGGAATCATGTCAAAGGATTCAAGATGAACTTGACCAGGGTCCCACAAGAGATAGGACAATGTGAACACTTATAAAAATAAATACAGCAAAGAACTTAAATACTTCCAACACATATAAATCCGTAAGTTTATAATAATATGAACAGAAAAAGAAAAAGCCTCAGCAATCACTTTTGGAGGATGCTAGATTTTCAACTCATTATTTTGAAAACTGCTGAATAAAAGGAAAAAAAATCTAGAATTTATCCTGCCTATCGGCTGACGGTTCAAACCCACCAGCCACTCCTCGGAAGGAAGGTTGGGCAATCCCACTTCTGTAGTGATACTGCCTCGGAAACCCAAGGAGGGGTCGCTATAAGTTGGGGCCGACTCGACGGCAAATAACAACAATAACAACATCCTTTTAAAAACTCTTTTGGTACAACCAAATAGTGGTTACAGAGAAATATTGCTCTATAAAAAATGTCCCAGCTAATAAATGAAGAAAGAAGTATAGAATTAGAATATAACAATTTATAACACTAAATGAAATTATAAATCCAGGCAATGATCATCAAATGGCTGCTATTATTATAAAAGAGACAGCCAAATACATGCCTCCTGACTGAAATACACACCACTATCTATTAGATGCTCTTGCCAAAAAGTAAAACTTAACTTGGATCAAGCCTTTAATTCTAACTACCAATTTGTAGAGAACCTAGGCAAAAAGAACATGTTAAATAAGGGGATGCAGTCAGCAAAATTCAGGTTCTAAGAAGCTCCACAAACCAACCCAATTTCTTCAATAAATACTTTGAAAGGGAGAATATGCAAAGAAGTGGGAAACTATACATTAAAAACACTTAAGAATTAAAAACCAAAATTGCAATGTTATTTAGAACCTGACTGCAACAACCAAAAAAATCCAAACCAATTGCCATCAAGTCAATTCCAATTCACAGTGACTCTATAGGACAGACTAGAACTGCCCTATAGGGTTTCAAGGCTATAAATCTTCACAGAAGTAGACTGCCACATTTTTCTCCCACAGAGCAGCTGGTGGGTTCAAACCATCGACCTTTAGGTGAGACAAACAGGGATATTTGAACACTGACTAGCTATTTAAAAATGTGAATGATAGTTCTTATCTATCAGAGATATCTAATGAAGTATTTATGCATGAAATGAAATGACGTTTGAGATCTGTTTCAAAATAATCCAGGAGTAGGGGGAGGGAAACAAAGTTGGCCACAAGTCATTAACTCATGGGTAATATGCAATTTACCCATCATCATATAATGCTCTTCATATATAATCACCTCCATTTTGTATATGGTTTGAATTTCTGAAAATAAAAGTTTTTCAAAAAAACAAACAGCAATAGGGTAGGATATAAAGTAATACATATCCCCAAGATTTTTTTTCTCAATTTTTATGTAGATCATAAATACCTTTTTATTGAAGACTGCAGGTAAACATTCACAGTTTAAAGTATAAGCTTACAGCAAAAATGTCTTTCTAATTTTTGCCATGTGAATTCTTAGTAGGTTGAATTATTTTCAACAAATCACAACAAAGAATTATGGTAGGAAGTCCACATGACTACACTCACTGGTATTTGGGCATCAAAATAAAATTCCCTGTCATTTTAGCATAACTTAAATGTGAGGTTCAACTTGACCTCAGATATTGTCTTAAATACCAAGTAGCTTCATTTTTATGAATTCTTAAATATCAGAATTTTAAAGCCTGATTAATATAATAAAGAGTAAATATGAACCTCAATACTAACATATAGTTTTTATTGTGTAATCACAGGTATCTGATAAGGTATGTATGAATTTTTCTATACAAATCCTTAAACATATCTCCAAATTCATAATGTTCTACAAGATTTACCTACTCATCCTTGCTTGTTTTGTGGTCACCTCCCCCACCCCTTAATATTCTTGACTATTGTTGTTGCTAGTTGCGATCGAGTCAATTCTGACTCATGGAAACCTCATGTGTACAGCGTACAACTGCTCCATATGTTTGTTTGTTTCTGTTCCATGTGGTTTTTAAGGCTGTGACCTTTCAGAAGCAGATATCCAGGCCTGTCTTCCAAGGAGCCTCTGAATAGGTTTGAACCATCATCCTTTTGGTAACAGTCAAGCACTTAACTGTTAGTACTACCTGGGAACCACTTTTAAAACAGATTCAGTAATAATGGTATAACTCTTATTATTAAATTTATCCAAATGTTTAATAGTAGATAAATCTACTGACAGTTCACTTAAAAAGTATGTACCCTAATGATTATATACAGTAATTTAGAGTGATGAAAGACATCTACTAAAATGACAAAGAACTAAACTACTACTTTCTGAAAAGGCAGTAAAGTCCGTAAGTAAATGTGGAAAATTCCAATACTTTTATATGCCTCAATTTCTACATTAATTCTGATATTATAAATATATGTTCACTACAGTGACTCTTGTGCTGCTTTCATCAGAGAAATTTATTTATTAATAAACCTAGTATGAAACTAGTATGAAACAGTCATACTAGTTTCATCATACAGCAGAAATGCTGATTTCTTGTCTTTATCTCAGGGCATATAATGTATGTATTTTCTTACTATAATATTTTGAAGATCTAAGTTATAGATGATTATTTCAGAATCAAATAATTTGTTAAATACTTCTGATACTTTCAATAATAAAAAAACTCTTAAACAGAATCTGCCAAGGTAGCCACCTATATCACATGAAACCACAATAAGCTAGAACCTATAATAAACTCTGAATTTTTTCTAGTTTTTCTTTCCAACTGAAAAAAGTATGTGACTAGTAAACAAGCTGGCTTCATTAATTTTTAACCTAAAATCAATTACAATGGTAGAGCCTACTCAATTATCCACAGTTTTAACATCCACAGATTATGCAATTAGCACTGATACTAAAAGTGATCTGTTTGAGGCCTTATAAGATCCTCAATCAAATATATTAAAAAGCATAGGTTCTAGGTTCAGATGAGATCTGGGAGGAATCCTGACTCTATTGTTTTACAACTTGCTTTATGACCTGGAATATGTTATCTAATACTTTTAAGTATTTTAAGTTTCATTATCTGCAAGAATGGGGTAAGATTACCTATCTCACAGTTTTTGAGGGATGAAATCAAATAATACACACAACATGCTTAAGCACAATGCCTGTAGAGAGTACCAAAGTATCCAATAAATGTTGTGGTGTGGTAGTGGTGTAGAGTAATAGTGGTAGAAAATAGTAAGAAAAGAAAAAATTAACAATGCTGATAAAAACTGAAATAATTTCTACATAAATGTTTATTAAGAGCAATTAGCAGCACTACAGTCTTGATTTCAAAATAACTAAAGTTTCTTATTCAATATCTGTAAGATATCAAGGTTTAAAAGTATTCTTAAGCCCACAATGAGACTTTCATATTATATCTTAACTATTTGAATTTAATTATCCTCATCAGCATTTTTAGTTAAATTAGTATAAATCACACAAATCATAGTGTTTTAGTTATTAACATTCATTTTTATTGCTAATAAGGCAGAATTTTCATTTGAGTAATAATTAAAAATATTTGTGTCCTAATAATTCAAATTGCCCAATTTTGCAACAATTCAGGCAGCAAAATCATTTAAAAGTTTAAAAGATTACACAATCAAGAAATGTATAAAAGATTCTTTTTAATAATCTCTGTACTTATATAAAGAATTATGCAATAAATCAAAATTTCCTGTTGTGTAAATTACTCCCCAAGTTCAGATGAGAAGATCAAACATTAGGATTTTTATATTAATATTAGATAGATTATAGCCTTAATCTATTGACTAGAACCCTCTTTGAATACATCGGAAGTTCAAAATTTTGGTTTGAAAAGAACAAAATTATATAGAAAGATGATATCACTTTGATTCCAATCCTGAAACACAGAGTATCCCATGGTTTTTATATACCAGGGTTTTCAATTCTGGTGTGCAAAGAATTGCCTAGAGTTTTTTTTAAAAAAAAATTTAATAGCTTAGGCTCTGCTCTCTAAGGAGTCTGATTTAACTGGAATAGTTAGGGTCTAGAGTATTATTTAAAAAGCTCTTCTTGGGGTTCTGACATACAGCCAGGGTTGAGAACCACAGTTATATATGAACTATAAATAGTTAATTGGGGATAATGGTTATGGAAATTTAAAAAAAAAGGAAAACAGAGTGGTACAAAGTATCAAGATACATTTGGAAATATCCTGGATAATTGAAGATTCCACAAATATTTATTAAGATGTGTGAATGACACAGTTCTTGCCCAAGACATTTAGAGCCCAACAGAAATAGAAAACGAGTAACTTTAACACAGCAGATTATTATAAAATTTCATTAGAGTATAAACAAACTGCTCTGGGAGTTCAGAGGTCATACACACGCAAAAAAGGTTTATATAGAAAATAACTTCAAAGTCAAAATATTACAAAAAGAATGAGAAAAGAACAAACTATACATAAGAACCATTTACTACTGCAGTGTAGTAAATTACTTTGTGTGGCTTTTCTACCCATAAGTCTTTGTAAACTCCAAGGTGGGATTTGCTATGAGCAACTGAGGAGCTCCTGATTGCTGAAGTTGTCCACCTGGAGTATTTCTGTTGGGAGTGGCACAAAATGTTCTGGGAGGTGCCCACTCTCTCTCAGGTGCTTAGAGTTCTGATGCTATGAGTGGCTAGTTTGACCATCCTGCCAGGCTCAAAAGGAGGCCTCCTAGAGGCAGAACTCTCTCTGACTGCTGGCTGAGAAAGACATTCTGCCAGAAGAGACACGCGCCCCTGAAAGAGACACACGTGCTGGGAAAGAGACGCAAGAGACACACATTGCTGAGTGAGACATCGAGGGACCAGCACTGTTGGGAAAGAGACTGTGAGAGACTGTTGGCTGAGGGACGGAAGGCTGGAAGAGAGACTGAGCATTTTTTCCTGAACTTGAATTGTAGCCTGTGGTGCTTCCCTAATAAACCCCATAATCTGTGAG